TACATACATACATACAGTACAGTACAGCACAGTACATTACAGTACATACAGTACAGTACAGTACAGTACAGTACATTACAGTACATTACGGTACATTACATTATATTACGTTACATTACATTACATTACATTACATTACATTACATTACATTACATTACATTACAATAACACATACATACATTCATTCATACATGCATACATACACATGTATGTATCCGTTACTTGATATATGTCTATGTATGTTTACAAAGGTAGAAAGATAGATGGAGCAAGGAGAGAAATCCTCAAGTCCAGAGGCCAACATCTAGTCGAGCTCGAAGGGAAAGGACACATGTCCTGTTGCTGGCTTCCGGCTCATTCAAGTCAGCCAAATTCCCCATCCACTGAAATCCTAAGCCTACGCCGAAGCCTCCCAAAATCTTAACATGTCTCTGCCCCTTGGTAGCGCCTAAAGCCCTGCTCAGAACGTGAGACCCAAAATGTACCACACCTGTCTATAATCACAAAACAACACTCACCCACCACCACGCCCACATTCAAACCCTCTTTCCAACTGCTTCAGATCCTATAAAAAACCATCAGAAGCATCCGACAAAAGACTTTTCCTACGCCGCGCCTCAGGGACCCTCGCGAGCTCGGAGAGCAGCAGCTCCAGGCCGTCCTCAAGGGCCGTCGCAGCTAACGGTCTTTGGGGTTAGGGATTGCAGGCTTGAGGGTTTAGGATCGTTTGCCGGGCTTTAAGATTGAAGCTTTAAGGATTTAAGATATAGGGGCTCGATGGTTAAAGGTTTAGGGGTTCAAGGGCTTCTACGAGCTTGGGGCTTATGCTGGCACTTTCCTCCACTGTATGTGAGGTTTTAAGATTTGTTATCAAAGGATTCTAGCCCCAAAGAGACAGTAAGTTCCGATTCTTGAACTATTTGTTGAGCCTTGGGCTTGAGGCGGCCTTTGGCTATGGCTTTTGAGACTTTCGACTTTGGGGCGCCGAATTGAAGCTCTGAGGATTCTGGATTTTGAGGGTTCCGGGCGTGGTTGGGGCTGCGTTTGCATAAGGTTTAAGAATATTATGGGTTTGAAGATTTAATGCTTTCGTGGTGCAGGCTTTAGAACTACTCTCTCCCAGTGAGGGCTGGTGCGCCAGCACGGCAGGACTTTGGCAAAAAAAACTGGCACCATTCAGATGTAAGCTTGTGACACAGGAAACAGGGTTGTTGAGCCTCAGATTCGAGCGGTTGATTGGGAATTCACACCGCCTTCTTCGAGAAACGATTGTGGTCAAACAAGCCAAAGCAAGTGTTGTTTACCGGGAGCAGGGCTTCGGCGCCCGAGCTGTCAGGGCCCTTCGTGTCCCGTGCTCCTTCTGTTCAGATATGAACGAAAGACCCCGTGCCTTCAGCCCTAGGCACCGACCAATACCCTTAAACGCAAGACTCTAGCTCTTCGCTTCGAAAACATATGTATATATATATATATACCGTATCATATACTACATGTAACATGGATGTATATATATATATGTATACATATATATATATATAAATACATATGAATGTATACTTATATTAATCTATTTATTTATATGTGCACATGCGACAGGATACGGTATTATGTAATATACTGTGATATAATATCATATGATATAAGACACTATTATATTATATTCGGTTATCACATAATGCAGTACAATGTAATGTAACGTAATGTACTGTAAAGTACTGTACTGTACTGTAATGTAATGTAATGTTCATCTAATACCATATAATATAAAATATTCTAATTTCATAGATTATAATATAATACAATATAATATACTTTAATACATTATGATATATTATAATATAGTCTAATTTAATATTTTATAATATAATATACCTTATTTAAATATATTATAGCATATGAAAAAATAGAATATAATATACATTATATTACAATATAATACAATTTAAATCCATATATTCTGATGTAATATAATCTATTTAATATATTATGATACAATATATTATATCATATTATATTATGATATAACATAATATCAGGAGGTACAAGAAAATCAAATGAAAGCAACATAAACACACAAATTTAACTAAAATGACATGAAATAAACGTAATGTAACATATTATGATATATGGTTACATGGAGCTTATATACACACATGTGTACGTACATATGTGTATAAATGTATGTGATTTTATGTGCATGTTAGTATATCTGTGCGCTCTAATGGGGCCCAGCGTGCTCCTGCAACTCCACAGGCGGCCCTCTGAGCTCTACCAGTCGGTCCTGTCAGGGCTAGTCTGCTCATGCACGAGACACGAAGATGCCCACATCACGTTGTGTAGGGGGGCTTGTTAGTTTTTGAATAAGGCTTTGGGGTAGACGGTTCCCGAACTGTAATACAGGGGCAAGTCTGCAAAGCTGTTCTGGGGGTCCAAAAACATAAGTAAACACCGGAACAATTCCAGCTGGGGATCTGAAGCCTTCACAGTTTCAGCCGGGGCCTGGCAAGTTTAGATTCTTGGATCTTGCAAAGCCTGCAAAGCTGCGGAGCAGCTTCGGGTTCAGGTTCTGGGGTGTAGGCTTGGGATTTTGGTTCTAGGATGGTTTAGGGCTTGGGTTGTCCATTTCCAGTTCAGGGATGCCTTTGCCATCCGCCACCCACCCAGGTTGAGGAAAAATTAGGTGGCATTAAGAGCCCGGGTGCACCAAAAAGCTCAAAATATAAAACTCGGCATGTTCTGCGCTTCATGTTGTCTTATGCCTATACAGCTCTTTCAGAGTGTATATTCTCAGCTGCAAGGCGTACATGAGTCTCACCTCCTCGCCGAAGCCTTTTGGGGCATCTGTGCCCTGGAAGAACTGCATCTGGGCGCCCGAGTCCTCCTGGAAAGAGAGGTCGGCTCTGGAGGGGTTTAGGGTTTAGGGTTTAGGGTTTAGGGGTTTCGGGTTTAGGGTTTAGGGTTTAGGGTTTAGGGTTCCAGGGACGCCGGTTACTTTCTCTGAAGTATCCACATTGGCCTTTGTTACTGTGTACCAGTAGCATGCCAGAACCCAACTCTTGCACCCCGCAGTACTGGATCAAAGAGACCCACAAATCAAGCCTTCCAAGCCTTGTTACAAGTTATAAGTATTGCAATCTCAAAGCCGCTGTTTCCTGATGTCAGAGCCACAACGCCTCTGTACCCTGCGCCCGGTCTCCACCCGGCTGCCCCCGTACTTCGACGATTCCCACTGCAAAAAGCCTTCCAGGTCTCCTGAAGCATCTTGATCCGCTTGCCGCCGCGACCGATCAACAGCCCTGCCGCATGCACCTGAAAACGATCGCCCCGGGTTTGTTTCAGAGTTAAGCTCGGAGCGTCTCGGGCTCGGGGCTGGGGAAAATCGGATTTTCGCAAGCAGAACGCACATGGAGGAAAACAACTCGTTACCAGTTCGCAACTGAACTATGACATAGACACGTACTTGATGCCGATAGCTGTCAAAGCCACGTTTCTTCTTCGAAACCGGCTTGGTATTTACGTGCAAAAAGCTTGGATTCTGCGTCGTTTTCGAGGACCTATGTATTTGTGAAATGGCGAGTTGAGTTCATCTTTGGCAACCAACTATCAGGGGCCACGGCCGTGGTGAGCGTGCTGCACACCCCTCCCGGCACTGGTATAGGGTCTCTTTCAAGGCGCGTTCAGCACCACACGTGCCGTCCACTCGCTGCCCTGCGCTCTCGGTGCGCGGGGCGCCGCCGGGCGTGTTGGCAGCTCCGGCGGCCAGGCAAAGCGCATGGCTGATTTGGTGAAAGGATACGAGATTCAGGGTTTACGAATCCGGGTCCCAGGCTTAAGGTCCAACTGTAGCAAGATAAGCTCAGATCAGAGTTGATGCCCTTTTTGCTCTCGGGTGTTTGCTGTTTAGAGTTCAGTGTCGAGGGTTTGGCACGATGTCATGCGCAATTGCTGATCGGGTGTTGGACACGGGTATATTTAGTCGCATGAAAGCCTCAGTCGCTACTTGAAGCTCAAGGCTTTCGGCTGCTTACATTGGGGACTCTTGGTGAGGGAATGCGCCCGAATCTCGATGTGGGCGGCCTAAGACAATCTGAGTTACAGGGTTCATATGATGCATGGACCGACACTGAGTTCCTGGCTGCAGCCTGTGACAGAGCAAACGCTTCGGCACTCTGATGCTATGCCACTTCTCCTCGTCAGAGCCTGAAGCAAATCTCGGCACCCTGAACCTGGCAGACTGGCTCTCACACCTCGAACCCTAATTACGGAAACTGAAAAGCCGAAAACCCGCAAAAATGTACTCGAAGCCTGTAGCCGTTAAAAATTTAACCCTCTTTGCCTGCGCGACAACCCGGGCAAGTTGGCCAACGGCCTCCCGCTGCTTCAACAAAACAAGCGGCTCAGGTCAAATGTTCTGCCATTTTGCCCGGCTGAGGGTGTAGCCTTTAGGGCCCTTAGGGCCAGGCTGAGCCACAGAAACTACACAGGCTGATACTGGTGCTATTTATATTTGTTTTGGTGGTCGGTCTGCATGTGAAGGGGGCATGGCCTCATGTATACAGAGGCTCATCTCTTCTTAGGCTCCTACAATATACACAAGCCGCAGTTTGCGCAGGGTCCCGGACCTGGGGCTTTAAAGATCAGCGTTCGAATGTGTTGAAAAAGAAACGCAACCTTAGTCCCAAGACGAGCACGTATACTTGCCATTGGACGCCGTCCAGGTTCTTAGTTCTTGCATGCCAAACCTGAATTAACGTGCTGCAATTGAGCCCGAACCTGCGATTGCGATCGAATGTCTATGAAAAGTCGCCAAGTTCATACCCCGTCATCAAGAAAGACCTAAACCCGATACTCTAGAGTCTCCGCAACCCTGACCCCAAACAGGAATAATAAACTCTACACTAAAAGAGGCTCAGCTTCAGTGCAGTAACAGCTCCAGCTCCAGGGCTCCTAAAAATGAAAAAGAACCTAAATACAGCTTCACATCTTGTTGTAGGTTCTA